AATTGTCAACAAAAATAATAAATAATAGTTACACATTAGATTGTTTTATTTACACTATTTATTTATTAGGTCGTTTATTGGAATGGCTGGCAAATATCGAATAATTGTCAATAGGATAGAAATTTATAAAATGCTAAAAAATAAGGATTTTCTTATAGTTGGTTCGCATATTTTAATAATTTAGTAAAGGTTTATAAATTTATGAATAAAAATTGTTTTCATATTTATTTCTTTATAAATTGGTAAATGATAAATATGGCATTGCATTATTTTTCATTGTATTAGTTTTCAGAATGTTGTAAGTATAAAATTATTCTTGTAAATAAACAATCTAATAAATCCATAGTGTTTAATATTTTTGTTGTGAATTCTCAAGAGCAACAAAAAAAAAAATGTATAAATTAACTTTCATAATATTTTTAGGTTTTATTTCAATTCTAATCATTGCTTTTTAAACCAATAAACATCACCGAAGAATGAAAGCAGTGAAAATAATAGTGATGTCAATGGAAAAACTGTCTTTTTGATCCAAGTTTGCTATTAATAATTATAATAACAACGAAATGAACCCATTAGGTTTCCTTAAAATTATAGCTCTGCCTAATCTACCTTATTGTTTAATGGTAATCTTAATCTTTGCCTGTCCAGGGGATTTTCGTGTGTACTATCCAAACGTTCATGCTTGTTTTCAGTTTTATAACTATTGCAAGGCAACTCTGCTTATTTGGCAAAGAGAATTTGCTGATATATAATATTTAACATAATAGAAACCTGTACATCACATTAGATGCACATAACGTACAAATCATAAGTTATTTAAACTACGCTCTGTACATCACACGTGTTGCAAAGGTTATAAACATTTCAATAAAGTGGAAAAATAGATGTCTTACATTTGAGACCTTGCATTATCAGTCAAGCGTCCTGTGTTCATATATGATGCACGAAATATTAGATTAGTCCTTTCTTCAGATATCCTGTGCAATAACAGACTCTTTTCTTAAGCTTCCTTAGTTTTACAACTCTTTTAAAATCATGGCTCATGTGCACCAAATATGATGCACGGACGTGGAAATCACATGCAAAGGGTTAAGGCTGGCGGATTTTAAATTTTAGATAACCTCCTCTCTAAAAGAATGCCCTAATTTTAAAGAGTTTTCAGCATCCTAGTATAGTAGGAGTTAATTAAACCAAATTAAGCATGAAACTTACTAATTATTAAATCCAAAAAATGGCCCCAAACTTTTAACCAATAGTTTATGTCGTTTTATTTGATTTTCGTCATTTTTTTTCCAATGTTGCCATATATTACTTGCATTATTTACATTATTCGGACTGTTATCTTCAACTTCATTGCCATATTAACAACGTTTCGGCCGTTGTACGCCCCGGCCTTCTTCAGGTGATTGGAATTTCGATCGAACCATTTATTTCGTCCACCGGGGTAGATTGTTCTAGTTCCGCGTGTCATGCCTCTTCCGGATGTCTCAATTATTTCCCAGTGGACGAAATAAAGGATAACAGTTCGAAAAGTGTAAATAATGCAAGTAATCATAATACCTCATCTCAGAGATGTAAACAGATGTTGCCATATTCTCTTTGACATCTTACAGATCTTTATTGTCTATTTATAATGATCTTTTCCAGAAGGTTACAGTCGAACGTTATTTTTGTTTTAAAGAGTGGGTTCGTACAGTAGATCCCAGCGGACATTTGTGGTTTTGAGTTCAATTTTGGTGTAGATATGGTCTCGGAAATAGAAATCAGAGTTTGCATTCACTTATACGTAATTATCCCTAGGAATGGTATGAATCCACCTCTCCTATGAGTCCTATAGCCTTGGGTTCAGTCTACCGAAGAAAGAAACGGCAACCCACAGCAGAAGATTTTCCTACTTAGCTAGTCATGCATCGAAAGAGCCATGATCGCTCATGTGATACACAATTTATCATACCATGTGATCGACTATTTATATTCGGACGATTGTCCTCATCTTTGTTGTTGTTATCACAACGTTTCGGCGCTCCTCAGATGTATATCAACCTGTGTAAACTACTGCTCATGTCTCTTATTTTTATTTAGTATTGCTCAGTCATTGTTCCTGCGTTTCCCAGGGATTGAACTTACAATCACCATATAATCAAATTAACAAACCAACGCTTTAACTCTCTAAGCCATTGTCCTCTAGTGAACTTGGAGCTTTAAACCTAACTTGCCTGCTGATTATAGTTGCAATTGCTGCTTCTGTCTGTCATGTTTTTACGCTGCTGTTGAAGACTTGCTGTAATTTGTCTTTCTTTATTAGAGGGTTCAATAATGTATTTATTTCTCTGCTAGGCCTACTAATGCGATCCTCATAGCTTAGCATATGCACTGATTCTTTCAGTGTATTAATGATAGTTGTAAAGAGGTGTACATGTCCGCTAACTTGGACATGTACACCGTATGTCGGGTGGGGGGATTCTGAACCTTCTGTACGGGGAACTGGCCACCGGCAAGAGGATACGAGGGTGACCTCATCTTTGTTTCAAGGACACCTGCAAAAGGGACATGAGGACAATGGACATATACATCAAGAGGTGGGGAGACGTCGCCAACAATCGCTCACATTCGAGACGCGATTACAATAAGGGCTGGAGTGAGGAAAAGGGAAACGAAGGCTTGCCGGCGGGGAAAAGCGTGATTGACAATATGGCGACATGAAGGAGAGCGTCTTCACATGCATTCATGGCAATCCAGACAGTCTCTCCCATGTGGGCCTGTACAGCCATAACAGATGCTGCACCTCTATCAGCAGCTGAGGCATAACTCTTTGGGCGCAGGTCCAAGGTTTCTCGAGACCAACGTTTGCCACATAAACTTAAGAAGAAAATTAAGACAAAGCTTTCCGATTTCTAAGTAAAAAAAAGAAAAAAGAAGAAGTGTGTCGATTTAGGAAACCTGGTCTACAGAGAAGAGTCCAAACAACCGAAAATAACTTAGATTTTTAATTTAGCCCATTTAATATGTCTTCTAAAACCCGCATAGACGTTTTTAGACTGTTACGGTTAGAAAGAGAGGATTGGGCAGCTACAGCCCATATATATATATATATATATATATATATATTAATCGAAATCACACCAAGCAAGGCAGTAATGCCACTAAAAGGGGTTACAGAGTGTGGAAGAATTAGGAGCAGACACATTAATAATGAGCAGAAAGAGAAGAGAGTAATCAGGAAGACAGCGATTGATATTGCGTTAAAATTTTTGCTGATTAAAGTTGGCTGAGAAGTGCGAGAGAAGAAACTGTTATCATAGAATTTACGGCTACATCTAACCAGCTCAACAGATGCCATTCTAGTGCTGCGCTTAAAGTAAAAAAAAGCACCCCCCCCAAAAAAAAACAAACAAACTATGTAGCATAGCGAAGAGCTCAATCGAACAATTACCATGAAAGTATTTATAGAAAAAGATATAGAAAGGCAACCTTACGGCGGTGGAAAAGTGACTGGAGCTGAGCTGTCAGATCAGAACCAATAATAATGCAGATACTTCTTTGGATCCTATCAAGGAGCACAAGGTAAATAGCAGTCAGATATGACAGCAATCCTCCATCTTTTGGTCTGATCTGACTGTTGTAAAGTCAAAGCATGGCAGGTGAAGTCAGGTACTTTCTAGAGCTTTATAAGGAGTGGGTCGTTCACCAGTAACATTAGCGATGGATATATAAGATTCGCTTGAGGTCTGGGGTTAATTTGAGTCACAACAGACGTTAAAAGCAAAGCGCAACTCTGAGAGTGCAAACATTCGCCATGACTGCTGAGAATACTGAACCAGATCGGTAGCTTTTGTTTTCGTTGATTTCTGTTTATATTTCAAGCTTCCTTGCCTAAATTAAACTAAAACTGATTCCTCATGGAAACTAAATGCTATCCTTATTATTTCTAGTATTCATGGAACTTTCCTTCCTAACCTTCTGCTTAAGATTGTGTGGAAAGTCAGTATTTTGACTATCATTATTTCTATTCTAGTTATATATTCAACCCATTTTCATTGTTGCTGTGGTTGTTGCAATGCTACCTCAGAAATACATGGAAAACGAAAAGACTTGAGCAATCTGATCACCAATCAAGTAACCCAGAGTTTCCCGTGTCTCACCGACAAACATTTGCATATCTACCTGATAATAAGAAAACAATTTTCTTTTATATTTTTCTTTTTTTGAGGAACCCATTTCTCATCTTAAATTCCCTGAATGATTTCAAAAGTCATATCTTTCCAAGAGGTTGAAAATGATGGCTCACCACAGCTTCTATTGCTTTATTATGCACGAATTAGCATGACAGTCATGGGAAAGGTAGTATTGGAGTTTTCAGTTGCCTTTTTTATGGTTTTGAATTTAGTGTTGACCTTCTAGATTGGTTGCCCCAAAAGCTCGATCGCTGTCTACTCTGTTTATTTGACGCATATACGGCTGGGGAGAATAGTTTCATGCCTTTATGAAAATGAAGTGAACGCAACAGACTTTATTGCAATTTGAACATTGGCCGCCAATTCCACAGTTATTAATCCGAGTAAGGACTTGAAATTTACGTCCTTTATCTAAGCAGACCGCTACAGTAACCCTGGAAGTATTTAAATAAACAAAAACAACAACAAAAAATAACAGAAATAAAACAAAAAAAACTATCTTTCAACTTTCGACGTCGGTAGGGTGGAAAGAAGAAATAATGAAGTTTTATTGTCGAAGCGAATCGCTGTTGTAAATTGGACGATCCCTACTGATGAAGTCGGTATCGGGGATTTGAGCTTCGTTGGCAGTCGTGCTGGGTGAATGAATGGGTAGCTTTGAACAGGGCAAAGGTTAATAGGTTTTGTCCATTTTCAGACAGAGAGAAAAATGACCTCCTAATCAATCAGTTACTTCATTCCTATCCCGCCACGGGTCTTTTCATGGCCTCTATTTACTTTGGCACATTCCATCTGGTTTGCGTCGTCAATTTTGGATTGTTCTAGTTCACTCGCAATGACACGCACCTTCTTTCTTTTCTTCGGTCTTTTATTCGATCTGTCTTTCATATTTACTTCTTTATCTGAGGTTCTGTTAAGCTTTTTCGTTTTCCATTGCCTGCTTTTTTCTTTCATCAATCGCTTTCAATTCTTTGTCTTTTGCCTCCTTTTTTCTTTTTTTCAATCGCATTCTATTCTTTTTCTTTTGCCTCCTTTTTTCTTTCTTTCATTCGCTTTCTATTCCTTTTCTTTTGCCTCCTTTTTTCTTTCTTTCAATCGCATTCTATTCTTTTTCTTTTGCCTCCTTTTTTCTCTATTTTCTTCGCTTTCTATTCCTTTTCTTTTGCCTCCTTTTTTCTTTCTTTCAATCGCATTCTATTCTTTTTCTTTTGCCTCCTTTTTTCTTTCTTTCAATCGCATTCTATTCTTTTTCTTTTGCCTCCTTTTTTCTTTCTTTCAATTTCAATTCTTTTTTCTTTATTCTCCTTTTTTTCTTTCTTTCAATCGCTTTCTATTCTTTTTCTTTTGCCTCCTTTTTTCTCTCTTTCATTCGCTTTCTATTTTTATTCTTTTTTCATCATTGCTTCTCTTTCTTTTCTTGCATTTTTTTAGAAATATTATTTTTGTTTATTTTCCCTCCTTTTGTCTATCTCTTTTTTGTATGATATTCTTTCCTTCTTCCTTCGTTTCTTTCCACTATTTTACATTCGTTTACTTTCTTTTTTTATTTCCTTTTCTATTTCTTTTTGATTTTGTGTTTCTTTCCTTTTTTCACCATTTTTAAGTTGTTTTTATTACTTTCGCGTACTTTTCTTTCATTTTCTTTTTGTTTTACATTTAAAGAAGAAAGTAAGAGGAAGGGAGTTCTACTGTCGAGAAAAGTGCGAAAAGAAACTGCTGGAGTAGAAGTGGCGGTTGCATTTAACTATTTCAACAGTAAAAGTGTGGGACCTAGATGCCAATCTAGTAGCACGCTTATATTCATGTAGTCAGGGCCTCAAGGAAGATAGCTCATCAGAACAGTTGCCATGAAAATATTTGTAGAAAAGACAGAGGGAAGCCACATCAAATCTTTGAAAAAGTAACTCGAGTCGAGATGTCAAGTAAATATATATATATATATAATTAAAGTACTTAAGTTTTAAGTCCGATTACCCATTCTTAAGCAATGATTATACAAAACTAATTAAAATTAACAATGCGTTAATACTATTTTTTGTATCTACTACGCCACGAGGTCAGGTTGTGACCCAAGGTCGGTTTAATGTGGGGAGCCCGAGCGCATACACCAGGGCTATGAAAAAAAATTCCTATGGTGCAATGAAAGGGTGCGGCCTCGGGCAGCTGCTTCCCTGGGCTGGGCAACTCTCAGTATAATTTTCCTCAGTTGCGACTCTATCCTTGGACGGAACCACCTCTGAGCAGACTCTGCCCAAATACAGAGACGCAACTGAGAGATGATAAATAATGTGTTACAAACTACTTGAGAGAGTAATTTACACGTTTTATGCTTTAATACTGTTAATACAAACAAGTAAAAATTTGTAACAAAAGACTGAAAGAAAAATGAAGCCGTTACATAGAATTAACAAAAAATTAAATAAATAAAAATAAGGAAAATGAAATATTAAATTAGAAACGTACACATACATTGCCTTCAGAAAAGATGGGATTCGACCATGACGGTTGGTATAGATCTTTTTTTTTATAAATTTCAGTGACTCTTAACCAACAGTTGGAATTCTGGGAGAGACGATATCCACGCCATAAGGTGGGAGTAGGGGAGAAAAAGGATTGGATAATATAGTGTAGCTACCCATTCTTTTATAGAGTGGGGGCATAAAGACATCTTTTCTTTTAAAGAGGAACAAAATGGCCAACGGCCCTTACAAAATCTTATTTCTATCCCTAATGTCTAGTTACAAACGAAAAAAAAAAATTAAGATAATACGAACCAATTAAAATATCCATTAGTGCTTTTGATAAATTAGGGGTTTTCCAATATTGGGATAATTTTTTGCTGTCATAAATTGTATATGTTGCATGTTGTTTCAAGTCTCTTCTTCATCTGTGACGAGATTGTCCAGCATTAACTACCACGTAGAAGGATTGATATTGAGTAAGAGTTCAGAACACTTTTCTTTGTTTCTAATGATCTTTTTTGTTTCTTAATACTTAAGAAGCTCTTAAAACCTGATCATTTTGGGAAGAACTGGTCATTTTGGGAAGAATTGAGAACTTTTCAGGACCACTCGCATTGCTATCCACAGTTTGGATCATGTATCTCATGGATAAAGGGAAATACTGTATACATCCCCCCCCCCCGTGTTGACCGATGCAATGTATTAAATTCTCCTGTCGATCAAAATTGATTTTCTAACATCATTCATCACAGTTACTAGCGCGGATTTAATCGCGAAAAATAAAATCTTTGTAGAAAATGAAATTCAGAGTGATTTATTTGTTTTACTTGTTCAAGACTCTTTTGCAAAGATGTCCAACTCTTTGGGGTCAGTTTCGCTCATATATAATTCTTTGCAGCATATCCCCCACTTAATAAGGATTTGACGTGCTTGACGATGAAATGTATGTAAATTGGTTTGTTGGGTTTTATTTTACGTATTTGTTTCCATTGGTGAAATTTGCACGTGGAAAAATCTTTTTTTTTTTGTTACGGGGATAAATTATATAGTTGGAAAGAAAGACTTCTTTGGCTTTTGTCAAGTGACTATTCAATCGTTTGGCCCAAGTTGAATGCGAATAGTCTCGTCCATTGAACTTTTTTTTTTTTATATTTCCGTTCGTTTTTTATAATCTTTTTGCATTCTTTCCTTCATTTTCTATTTTTCACTTTCTTTCTGCCATTTTTTCTCATCCGGGCTTTTTTCTTTCTTTTTTGCATTCTTTTCTCTTGTTTTTCTTTTTTTTTTACTTTAAATTTACCCTTTACGCATTTTCTTTCTTTTTTATTATTTTCCTCTTTTTCGTTCATCTATCTTTACGATTTTTCTTTCTGTTTTTCACTTTATTTTTCTTTCTTTCTTTCTTTCTTTTTACTGTATTTGAACTTTTTCCATTTTTTTCTCTTTACACGTTTTCTTTTTTCTTTCTTTATTTCGTTTTTCTTACTTTTCCATCATTTTTTTCTTTCCCTGTTTCTTTCCTTTATTTATCGCTTTCTTTCTCCATTTTTCTTATTTTTATCTATCTTCTTGCGTTTTACTTTCGTCTATTTATCTTTTTCACTTTCTTTTCTTTCTTTCCAACGTAATTTATCACAGAGAGTAACAGCAAATTTAAATTCCCATGTGCATGAATGCTTATTACAAGTCGCTTGTCGTGGAGTTGTTTGGAGCAACCAAATCTTGCCAACCATTTTTAGTGATTTAATTCCTTTCTGCATTTTCCCAATGTTATCGAGGCCTTGAGAAAATTAAAACATTTTAAATTCTCCCAAAACGGCCAGTGTCGTATATATTCCAAGTTGGTTTTCAATCAGTAAGTTTTCATATTTTTGCAGTTTTGCTTAAATTAAAGGCCAATGTTGTCAAAAGTTTAAAGAAAGAAATAAAAAATGATGGCATAACTTTTTGAATTTTTTTATTACTTCCCACCAGACCAAATTTCGTCCAGGTTATGACGATAAACTACAGCCGAGTCCTGAGTAAGACGATAAACTACGTCCAGCAGCAAGACCTCTGATCAGGGGATTTTGAGGAGCGTGGAACCACCTCTTAATTGCTGGTGTTCCCAAGTCCACCATGACCCGGAGTGGTACCACCTGTTAGGATCCCAGATATGGGCAAATAGTTAACCCCCAAACTGGGGTCAAAACGTGTAAAAATACTTTTTTTAGTACCAGCAATACATTTTTGTAAAAAATATTACCCTCAAAAAAATTTCGAAGAAAAACTTATTGCTAGCAATGCAGTATTGCCAGCAATACTTTCTTGGAAAAAATATTGCCAGCAATACATTTTTGAAAAAAGAACTATTACCAGCAATACATTTTTGGGAAAATATTACCAGAAATGCTTTTTGGAAAAAAATATTACCAGCAGTAAAAATCTTATCGGCATTAAATAACTCATTGAGGTTGATATGCCGTAAAACAAAATAAACTAAACTGAATTGTTCACAAGCAATAGAAATAATTGTTAACTTTATTTCGTCCTTATCTCTCTAGAGTATGGGTTTACATTTTCATTTTGGGACTTTTTCGCTGAGGAAAGAAAGATGAAACAATCTTTTTTTTTTCTATTTGGCATTACATGCTTTAAAATTTTGACCGTTAGCTTTTGACGGGAACAAACTAAAACAGATCGATGTTTTATATACAGTAAGCATACTATGAAGTAATATCTTCGCCAAAAATCATGGGTCAACCAATATTGACTTGCATACAATTACACTTGAAACGCCTTAAAAAGCAAACAACACATGACTTGTGAAACTAAGCATTTGAGAGGCAACAGGTTGATTTTTAATATAAGACGCATTTTTCTTTATTATAAGACGCATTTTTCCCTATAAAATATCTCCAAAAACCACCCTGCGTCCTATAAATCAGAGGTTGGAAACGAGTTAAATTTTCTTCTGATTATTACATTCTAAACAGTTATCATAAATTTGGTACTTCTCGGTCTATGATTAATTTGTTATGATTAGACAGGTTTTCAGGCTGAAATATGCTATTAAGTGGGGAGGGTTATGAATTACAAGAAAAAACATTTCCTCCTTCAAACATTTTTTTGGGGGGGGAGGGTGTCTAATGCATCGGAACGTTTTATAAGCAGCGAAATACTGTAGTTAAGTCAGTCACCATGTGAGAAATGAACTCGCTACGAATTAGCCTGCTTGACGAACTTGTTTCACAGCACGGTAGACGCTCATTTGATGTTTACTATAAAGACCGGAAGAATCGATACTAGATATCCAATCGTCATTCTAGGGAATGTTGTAGCAAGAGAGCGAAGTTTCTTAATATGGGCATAGAAAAAAAAACAAAAAAACAAACAAACAAACAAAAAAAAAAAAAACAAAAGTCGGTTTAAAAGAAATTTAATGTAAGGTAAGTATTAGGGTTATGACTTTTTTGACATTTTGTAAAATAATTGATTTCCTGTGTCATAATTCGACACTTATTAATAATAATTGGTTTGGTTTGGTTTGTTTTACGGCATATCAACCTCAATGGGTTATTTAACGCAGACAAGATTTTTATTGCTGGTAATATTTCGCTTTTTTTCTTTTTTTCAAAAATGTATTGTTGGTAATTTTTTTTTCCAAAAATCTATTGCTGGTAATAATGTATTGTTGGTAATAATTTTCACAAAGTATTTCTGGTGTCAAAACCTAGTTTTACACTTTCATAGCGTTTTGAACCATTTGGGAGACTAACTATTTACTCATAGCTAGGACCCTAACAGGTGCTACCACCCGGGGTCAGGATGGACCTGGGAACAGCAGTAATTAAGAGGTGGTTCCACGCTTCTCAAAACCTCCTGATCAGAGGCCTTGCTGTTGGACGTAGTTTATCGTCTTACTCAGGACGTGGATGTAGTTTATCGTCATACACAGGACGCATTGATAATAAACTTTTGTTAAATGATAAAGATGGGTGTAATTCAGGTTATTTTTTAACAAATCTCACCCCCAAGAAATTTCTAAAATTTTTTATTAGTAGTAGTATAACTATCTGAAGTTTCTAGAACTTTCTGGAACCTTCTTGAACTCGTTTCTGTTTATTTATATGTTTTGTTATAGCTATAAACTGTTAAATGTATTAGAAATAAATAATTATTATTCAATTATGTCATTAGCAAATTGAAAAATGAGGTTTCTGGAATATTTTAATATTTTTACCCTTGTTGCGTTTATAGTATAATTGATTTTTCGTTTTGGGCGGCCTTTTTCAAGAATTAAAACAATTCCTTTTTTCATTACTTTTGAACAAAAGTTCATCGATTTATGACAGAGACATAAGGTTACAAAAAAGTCATAACCCTAATAAGTATATTGGATTTATGAACTTAGGTTTAAATTTGTAAATCTTGTATCAAGAGTTTGATGGTCCTACTAAGGAATCGACCCTAAAGCCCATCTGCGCCTCTCGATACAAGATTTACAATTTTTTATTTTGTTTTAATGACAATTACAGCAAACGTTACTATAACTGTCATTGATAATACATATTATCAGGTACAGTATAACCCGGATATAAGAGAGTTGTCGGGACCGGAGAAGAAGTCTCTTATATCCGGGTTTCTCTTATATCCGGGTGTGGTCTATTTTGTTTAGGTAAGTATGGCTCTAAATTGGGACCAGAGAAAATCTCTCTTATATTCGGGTTTCTCTTATATCCGGGTCTCTTATATCCGGGTTACACTGTATTTAGTTTACTCACGTATTTTATGATATTGAAGTCACTTTTTATGTATACTAGTATGTCCATTATTAACTCTTTTACTATTTATTACTGATCAACAACTTAAAACCTGGAAAAAAAAGGGGAGGCAGTAAAACTGAAGGGAACGCCAGTAACAGTTCGATGCTTTCTTTTCTTTAATGCTGGTAGTATGAAGAAATGTGATAATTATATACTCTATTCTATGACTGAAATTCTTCACCTGTGCCATCATGTATACTTTTACGATTTATTGGAGTCTGTTCCAAAATGTTGTTACTTTTTAGAAAAATATTTTCTTTGTACATTTTCTTTGTTTATCCATTTCATTTTGAAAATTATAATTGTTATTTGTTTCTACAGGGTGTGGCAGAAATACCTCCTTGAAATACCTCCCATATTATGGAGGGGGAAATGGTATCTTAATCAAGCTAATGAAGGGATCGCCAGTAACAGTTTGATGCTTTCTTTTCTTTACTGCTGGTAGTATGAAGAAATGTGATAATTATATACTCTATTCTATGACTGAAATTCTTCACCTGTGCCATCATGTATACTTTTACGATTTATTGGAGTCTGTTCCAAAATGTTGTTACTTTTTAGAAAAATATTTTCTTTGTACATTTTCTTTGTTTATCCATTTCATTTTGAAAATTATAATTGTTATTTGTTTCTACAGGGTGTGGCAGAAATACCTCCTTGAAATACCTCCTATATTATGGAGGGGGAAATGGTATCTTAATCAAGCTAATGACTTATCATATTTACGGGGTATTTCTGCAGCACCCATCGTGTTAATTCTGCGTTGATTAGTCAAATAAGGAATAAACCATCAGAAGAAAGCGTGAACTATTTTTTTTATTGAGACCAGCACATAGTTAGTGTTACTCAATCACCGTCCTTCAAAAGAGATTTTTTCTATAGTAAGGGTCACCCTCTTCAAGGCCCGGGGGCCACTCGAGGTAGAGGATTACGTTAGGAGGTAATTTGTGCGTATAGGAGTGGAAGATAACATATATCCCTACCTTTGAACAGGTTAAGATTGTAGCGATCGAAGAAACATCCTCTTGGGGGTCTGTCCCATAGAGCAATCGTTCGCAGGAAGAAGCTGTTCGAATGGAACTTACTTCTCACCGATGGAATACGGGGGAAATGTGGGTGGTTTGCTACTATGTAAGTGGCATGGCGTGTTCTTGCCATAAAGGTTTGACTTGGCGGGACCAGGGAATGTAGTTCGACCGAGCACTTTCCGTGGAAGTAGCTCTAGAGCAGCGAGAAGCTTGCCACATCCCGCCTGTGGGAGAGAGGTTGAAGGGTGGAGAAGAATTCGTCACCCCAAGGGCTCGGAGACACTTTTGGACTATATCAAGACTGAAGAGACATGAGAGAGTGAGAGAGAGAGAGAGAGAGAGAGAGAGAGAGAGAGAGAAAGAGAGAGAGAAATAGAGAGAGAGAGAGAGAGAGAGAGAGAAAGAGAGAGAGAGAGAGAGAAAGAGAGAGAGAGAAAGAGAGGGGGGGTAAGAGAGAATAAAAGTCGCATTAAAGTTTCGTAATAAACAAAGAAAACCCCTGAACTACTATCTAATATCGGCCCTCATACAAGGCAGTAAATACTGGACAATCTCTTTAGATAAAGAAGCGACTTAAGGCAACTGAAATATGATTATACAGAAGGATGCGGTGAATACTATGGACTAAAAACATATGAGTAATCAGGAAGTTCTAGGGACAAAGGACACTTTTACTTAGAATCAGAATGAGGCAATTGAAATTTTTAGCACAGATAATGAGGAAAGAGGGCTTGGAGAATTTGGCACTCACAGGACATACTGAAATCAAGAGAGGCAGAGGAAAGCAGTAAATAA